GAAAAAGCCCCCCCCCCCCCCCCCCCAGAGCCTGATCCGGGGAGAACCCGGCGTGCTCCGTCCCGGCTTGGTAGGGATTCGAGGTCAATGGTCTAACGACTACGGCATGCAGGATTAGGAGTACCCCCCCCCCCCTCCCCCGTCCCCCCGCGCATGCTGAACGCCTTCGTCATTCTAACCTTCCGTCCCCTTTCTCCCCTTCGCTGTCTCTCTCTCGCACACGCACACACCTGTAGGCCCGTATGCTGTCCGTGTAGGCCTCGAGGGCCGTGAACCCGAACCGCTTCTCCACCTCCGCCCAGCACGACACCAGCCCGCACCGACCCATGGCCAGGTACTTACCCCCCGCCTTCCTGCCCAGCCCGCTCTTGAGCACCTTCAGCCGCCCGAGGTAGAGGGACATGCGGGCCGCGGCGTGCTCCACCGTCTCCCCCGCCGCCTGTAAATTTTTAGTATAGTAAAATTGTTTTAATTTTAGTATAATAAGTAAGAATGTTTTTTCCGATATTGATATATCTACGGACGAGTAATGGTTGGGATCGCAGACACTAACATTTGAAAAAAATAAGCATTACTTTTCTGAACGAAGCCAAGACGGAAGTGTCAACTTAGATACAATGAATATTCGGAAGCATGCACACCGCGGCAGAAGCGAGCGGGCAAGCCCCACCCAAACGGCAACTCGAACAAAACTCACAGTGTGCAGGATGTAGTCCATCTGCGTGTTGGAAGTCACGTGCCCGCTTCGGCCCTGGTCACCCAAGATCACCACCGGCTGCAGCAGGGCGTGGGACCGGAGTTTCTCGAGAACCTGCCCGTTGGTTCGGGTGGGACAAGGGCTAGTCAGCGTGAGGGTAACGCGGCTTCCGCCCTTGTTAGCATGTCGCAGTTTTCCTTGTTCCTTTTCTGGGTCGTGCGTGATGGGAGGGCTTCAAGAACACGCGGATCATCTCGCTTCGGAAAATGCCGCTGGAGGCACAGTCCACGTTCTTTCGGGCGGCAGGATCGTCACCGACAAACACACAATTCTCTCATTCTATCTGTTTACCGTTTTCGGCTTCAATCCGGAGAATAGCCTGGCCTACCCTGTGGCCCAACCGAACCAGGGCCCGAATTTCAGAAGAGCTTTCCGATTCTAGCCGCACCGAGACTGGAGACTGTTCATTGGTCAAACGGCTAGCGAACAACAGAAAGCACAACACATACTACAAGAAACATGAAAGCCCTTGCCCCGACCCCATACACGCAACACCCACCGGCATTTCTATCGGCTACCACCCTATCCTATGACCCTTACCTCGTCGAAGACCTCGTCACTCTCGGTGTCCCACAGGGACTCCAGCATTTGTTCTGGAGCAGGCACCTGCCAGCGTCCGCCCGTCCAACACAACCCACACGCAAGGTCGAGGAGTTGGTCGAGGCACAGCAGTAGCGGCCACCCAGGGGGGGGTAGATGTGGTGGTGGCGGTTAGTGGTAGTGGGGGAGGCAAGACAGCGGCGACACGTCGCGTGGTGCTCTTGATGACCGCGAGGTCTGCAGCCTCTTCACCTCCTGCCTAACAAAACAAACAAAAACAAAACCGCAGCACTTCAGGATGATACCCTCAGCCTCGATTACTCAACCAGCCATAACCAGGGAATACTGTTGAGCCATCATGTCCCGCGTTCAGGATCACTCACGTGCTTGGGAAGGATGGCGAGATGCAAGTAGCGGTTTCGGATGTGATCCGGTAGCTTCAGGGTGCACACCTGAATGTTGCATACACCGCCACGAAGCCGAGGGGGGACGGGGGGACGGGGCGGGGACGTCGGGGTCGGCACATCTGCACACCAAGAAAGGTAATATCTCTGTCTCTCTATTCTCTGTCTCTGTCTCTCTCTCTCCCCCCACCCTCTCTCTCTGAGATACGCATGCATGCATACTGTACCTTGCCGGCGCTGTACAGGGACACGTAGTCCGGGTCCTGAGAAGCGCCGTTTTGCAACAAGGAGCGAGACGAGTCCACGGTCCTGAGTGCAACAAAAAAGAGAGAGCCAGAGGCATAGGGGGGGCACACAGAGACACAGACAAAAAGAGGTGAAAGAGGATTCGCGAAGAGAGACGGGGGGGGGAGGGGGGCAGAGCGAGAACGACAGAAAGGTGGTGTGGGAAAACCAGTCAGGAAAGGCAGGAAACAAGTGTTGGTAGGTGGACTCCTCACACAATTCCCTCTGCAACATATTCCCCTCTCCCCCTTGATGCCCCGCCCCCCAAGGTGACAATGTCCTACAAACAGGTAGTACGCAGGTCGTACAACAAATAAACAAAAAAAGAGGAGTACCAAAATATTAAACCTCCCTCCCGCTCACAAGACCAAGACAAGAGTGTAGCCCCCACGAGGCCAAGCCCGGTCGCCAAGAAAACACAACACAGCAAAACCCACGCAAAACAAGCACAAGAGAGGCGAGAAAACCGAGGTGCCCGTCTTCTCTCGACACACGCCCCCCCGGTGCCTCGCTCGTGCCATTCACAAAACGAGCACTCACCTTGCGAGAGAATCTCTCGTCGCATCCCAAGAGAACGAGCGTCCCTGCCCCTGAAGGGTCGTCCCTACCATCACGAGAGCATGCGGCCCGTACCGGCAGAGCTTGATGATCGACTTCACGGGCTGCCGGGTGGGGAATAGTAAGGGGGACACGCGGAGTGGAAACGGTAATTGGGCGCGGGGAGGTTGGGTGACCAATTGTTTGAATAACTCCGCCGTTCAATTTCGATTCGTGCCATCAAACCACTACATTTTCTCGCCCTTGAATGTACAAACGGCGTGACCAGGGAAGGCTCCATTCGTGTCGACACTTCCGCAACAGCAACACCAGAAAACCAATTCATAAGAGAGTGGGTCATCGCCAACACACCTCTGTGTCTCGCAAAGCAGCCCAGTCCACCGTTTCGATCATCGAGCACCTCTGGAGCAGCAGCTTGCACTACACCAAGCAGCAACCATGGTCGGCGATAGGCAAGGCGCGGAGTAGGGAGGCAGCGAGGGGAGGGGGGAGTCAAACACACGTACAACCAGGGGACGAAAACGCGTGTGCATAAACTGGGAGGCGTTCTTGTTGCAGCATGGTCCACACCCGAACGCTAAAATCAATCAAAGAAGAAGCAAATGAATCGAGAGTAAAGCCGAACAGGACGTTGGGCCTCCGTCACCATGGCAAAGCGTCGGCGGCCCACAACATCCATTTTACAGGCAGATTCTTGGGCCATAAAACAACATTTAACAACCAACCACAACAACAACAACAACCACAACTACCAGGAACTTCGTGGCTCACCTCATCGTCGTCCATCCTGTCGACAGCCACCACCTCCGAACCGAGCGTGGCCGCCAGCCCCGCGCCCTGCTGCGTCCACAGCAGCCCCTTGGAGTTCGCGGTGACCATCACATGAAAACCGAGGTCACGGACCTGGTCAAGCGACTCCCTGCCACGGAAGAAATAAATACAGAAAAAAAAACAGGAGGGGGTGTACTCATGTCTTGCATATCTTGGCCGTTAGCCCATTGACCACGCGTCCTCGAGAGGACGGAGCGTTGCTCCCACAGGACCGATCACCGATGGCCAAATCGCCCGTTCCTACTTTGCAGTCGGGGGGGGGGGGGGGGGGTAGGCAACAACTCCACGCATCTGAGGACAGAGAGAGATCTAGACAAGGAACTGTCAGCCATGTACAACACAGAACAGCCACAACGGCCGCAAATCAAGCCGGTTGAGCCCCAGCGTGCATGCCAACGGGACACACAGGGGGGAGAGGGAATGCTTCAAGCACAGCGCACCACCCTCCCACGACACCAAGTGTGCGCGTGTGGTCCGCCAAGGATCTTGGCATCTCCCCCAACACAACACAACACAACACGGCTCCCACGCTACACCGCATTCATCGGATACCACGCACGTCAGCAAATAACGACAAGGAAGACGACGACCACAGCAGCAACACCAGCAGCAACAGAACAACGACCAGCCACGTCATCAACGACGACTTCAACAACAACAACAACAACTCCACCGCCACCACCACACCATCAATACCATCGACAACAACAACAACCACGACGTACCTGTCCCACAGGTCGTCGACGACCAGCAGGCAGGTCAACCCCCTCGTCGCCAAGTGCGCCGCCAGGAAAGCGGCTACTTCCCCTTCCCGCGGCCCGCGCGTGCCCCACGGGAGTTCCACCTCCACCTCGTCATCCTGCGTTACGCATACACGGGGAATGGGGGAGGGAAATCAAACAGGGGGGGGGGGGGGGCGGGGGTTA